AAACCTGCAAACCTTGTTTTCTCTCTCGTTTTTCAACCATTTTTCGTGAATCTTGCACCAAAATGAAGCCTAAGACTAGTAGAACGCGTCCAAACAATTTTTAAGGGTCAAAAACTACTAGATCATACCTGTCCTAACCTCCCAACTCCGGTCAACTCCAAACGTAATGATTCCGACGTCAAAACTCTTCAAACGAAGCACTCCGAGGCTCCTTGGGACCTTACTAAGTCACCTACGAGCTTCAAAATGCCAAAAACGTGCTAGATTAATTTTGCATGAATAGTACTCAAAACTGACATCGTCGAATCAACGTGAAAACGGCGATACCCTTACCTGAAAATGGTACCACTGGACTCCTCTCAGCCTCACGAGCACGAGGGTGGTCTTGGTTCCCTCGATCTGCAAGTGGTTGAGTGTGTTTGTGTGTGTCCGTACACTTTCAGAAGGAAGAGGAAGGAAATGGGGCTTGGGGAACTCACAGAGAGAGAGACAGAAGGTGGTGCAGGTATGGGAGTGTGTGTGTGGCCCAAGGACATGCCAGCACAACACCAAAAATAACCAATAACGTCAAGAGAACAAACTAGGGGTAAAAATGTCATTTCACACGTACGTTTCCGATACTTTCGGGACGGGATGTCACATTGACCCTATAATTAAATAAGCATCTTTCGATGTTGATAGATAACTCATCTAAAATGAGTTCAGTTTATCAGTTTATTTTTGTTGCTTCTTAAAGCCAAATTCATCCACTTTCTGGGTTCTTATCATGACTGAAGGCTAGACCCAATTTTGCATATGCACACATATGCCTGAAAAATTGTTCAATTTTCTTCATACATATTCCATTCCTTCCATGAATAGACACTTACATATGAGTAGTGCACTCATCTTATATTCCATGATACCATGGAAGTTGGGTTCATGTCTTGTACTGGAGTTTTCCAACTGTTTCAATACAAATTTAAAACAACCCCATTTTATTTGGTTATTCACTCTTCATCAAGAGCTTTCGCTGACATCTTTATGAATATAAGGCTCAACAAAAACCTATTAATCATCCTTGTGCCCAATCAAATATTGATCTCCTTTGTCCCAAGAAATAAACATTGCATCAATCCATGAACTACATTATGGCCCTTTTAGATTTGCAAATAATGCAAATTTTTGTATGACTATTGAAGAAAGTTGGGATTCCAACATATAACCAATTGACAATATGAAGAACAACTCAATTTCTTATAAGGTCTTGTTATGTTTCTCTTTTCACCGATGTGGAACCCCTTTTATCTTCACATCTTCACAATCATACCATTTCACTTGGCCTTAATCGACATCCTTCTTCATATAAAGGAGACAAACACTGAACATGGATTTTAAACGGATCTGATAATAATTCCAGTACCCATATAATAAAAATTGTTATCACTGTATCTTTATAGAAACTAGAATCTCCATCTTTTAATTTCTATGTAAAGCAGTTAACAGAGACATGTACATAAAGTAACAGCCAAGTATGAGATTTCTATATATCATAGAATTTATATAATTAACAACAATAGCAACAACAGTGACGACATGCGTAATTTTACCAGGCCTCAAACTTTAAAACATTGCTTGATCGCGACATGCCCAGAATGCCAAGAGAAATTAAATTCAAACTAACATTAATTTAAAAGTAGTTAGATTATAATTTCTAATAAATACATATAAGACAAATAACCTTCTATCTTAATCATCATCATCGTCAATAAATCTCAAAATTCTTGTGTTGTTTTGTGTACTATATATATACAACTTTCAACGCATCATCTATCCCTGATCTATCTTTACAATATTTTCATTACGAATCTCTAAAGCCCTAGGCTTTACTCATATTTTCTAATTGCATAGAGATATAAACTTCTGTCTTTAGAATGTTGGAGCAATATTAGAAAATATGAAAATAACGCAAAAATTACAATAATAATAATCACAAAGAAATTCACAACATCAATTATGTATGAGATCAATATAAACAACAAAAGAGAAAGTTAGAAAAATTGACAAATTTGGAGATTGAGGCTTGCATAAATGCAATATCCTAAAGACAGAATTTCGCCCATACTCTTGTGCTTGTAGTTCGGTAGGTGTCTGTCTCCTAGAATTCAACAATCTATAATCTGAAGTCAAAGCACCTCAATCATCGGACTCTGGCGAACTTCATAGATTCCATACTCTTAAGATACGACTCGGAATTTGACTAACTAATAATAAAAGACCTTAGCGGAATTTGACTAGCCAAGAATAAAAGACCTTAGATAAAAACTCTTCTCATAATAATCTCACGACTATACTAACGTGAGTTTGTATAAAACCTAAGATACTGGTTGATTAACAGATGTAAACATTCATCTATTAGATGATACCGTTTACCAAGGATTGGCTTGATCCCCTTCAAACAGTTATGCATTTTTCATTCAATATTTTGAATTAAATATTATAATTGTTAATATTATAATATATAAATTCCAACAGTTTACACCTTGTTTTTATTGAACAAATAATATTATCTACAGCAAGGGGGAGAGAGTAGGTTTAACCTCACAAGTCACAATGAACTAGCAATAATGTGATTCAAATTCTCTTTTGGTGATAATCAAACTTAAGTACTCTCATTTATAATTGAAGATAAATACCACTAGACCGTAGTACTAAGTGGCATGTTTACGCCTTTCTTAAAATAAAGAAAAATGGGGGGGGGGGGGTTACAAGGATTCCACTCGATTTGTTTGCTTTTTAGTTAAAATGATTTATAAGATTGATATAATTTTTCACTATGGTATCTGATAATGAAAATTGAAAGAAGTAGTCTCAGAGTTTGTCTGCTATAAATCATTTCGGTAATTCTGTGAAAAATTTGTTAATATTTGCGTTAAGTGAAGGAGTTGATTTCACAAACTATCCTTAAAAATGTGGTCACGTGGTCGTCCACATTCCACCTTAACGAGGATATTGATAGATTTCATGAACTAACCAAAATAATTTACGTATACAAACTCAGGGATCATTTCTATAAATTTTCATCATCACGGACCAAAGTGAGGAGTTATAACAATCTTAAGGACCCTTTTGGCTAAAAAGTCTAATTTATTTCATGTTAGTTATTTAAAAAGAAATTTACCCATTTGATGCATAAGGCGGAACGGGATCCCCTCTGGACCCAAATAAACTAAGCCTCCTGAACAAAGGATTTAGGCCATTGAAATTTGATCCAATGGCTACAAACAGAAGGCCCTCTAAAAGTTATAATAATTGTAGCCGTTGGATCAAATATCAACAGCCCGGATCCTTTGATCCTTAAGCTCAATTTATTTGGATCTGGAGGAGATCCGATTCCGCATAAGGCATGAAAAGTTGAAGAAGAATAGAAAATGTGTTAATGGCAGCAACGCCCAAACATTATAGATTTGAGATTCGGTGTTCGATTTAGCGCCATGATTTAGTGTTTTGCCATAACATATGGAATGTTTGGCTGAATTTCCTTGTTTAATGGTCCAAAATATAATGGTTAAGATGTTAAGAAACTTTCAATATTTTGGTAATTCTTTAATTCATTCTCTATTGAGACTCCTCGAAATTCTAGGACTACGTGACACTATATAAGCAATATGTAGGGTGCTATGTTAAATATAAAGGACCAAAATGGCCAAAATTATAACATAGGATTTTTCAAAGGACTAATGGGTGAAAAGAAAAAAAATAGGGACCGCTTTAATAATACTTAAGTCTCTATTTTAACAAAATGGACCAAAATGGTTAACGGGAAAAAGCCTAAGGACTAAACTGAATTAAAAGCACATGAGTTAAATTAGCTAAATTAAGGGTTTATTTGAAATTGCTTATAAAAAATAGCACCCATGTTAAAAGTAATTTTTTTTAAATACATTAAAACACTTAAAAAAAGCATTTTAAATGGTTTAAAATATGGGAATTTTAACCAAAAGCTTTCGGTACTGTTCACTTTAACGAAAAACCACATTTTTACATTAAAAAGTCAATCCTGGTACTATTCATTTTACCCTTTATTTTGTTCTTATCGTTCAAACTCAAAGTTTTCAAGCCCTTTTCATTAGTTTTCCTTAAAAATCTTGGTATGCACTTTATCTAAAAATTATTTTTTATGGGTAAGAAACATGTTTTTTTTTTCAAATGCTACAAAAAATGCTTGTAAGTAAAGTTTTTGGAATGAATTTGAGCAAAATAATTATAGCTAGTTAATTGTGAGATTTAGTTCACTTCGCTACTACTTTATTGTAGATAACAATGTATGTATTAAAAAGAATTATTCCCGAATCAAGACAAAGACTGATTTGATTAAGTTGAAAACACAAAGTTTAAGGGGTACATTCAATTGAGAATTTGAGAGATTTTAATGGTTTTATAAATCCATGGAATTTAAGAGAGTTTAATGGATTTGTAAAGATTCCATAAATTTTTTTTATTCAATTCTCTCGAAATCTCAGGAGGAGAGGTGAAATTTGTGAATACTTAAATTGCACTATGAGATCTCTTCAATTCTCTCTAATTCATCAACTTTTTAAAATTCTTTAAAATAAATTCCTAATTGAATAAACCTAGAGGGTTTAATATAGTTTAGTAAAATCCTGATTGAATACAAGTTGAATTTCAGAGAATCACTTAAAAATCCTTATTGAATACCTTTAAATTCATTAAAAGAAATAAAATTCCTCAGTTCTCAACTAAATACACCTCTCCTAAATTGGCTAAGTGAAAGTTACATAAATCATACTTTGGCAATTCGCCAAAAGAAAAATAGATAGACAATAACCCGTTTATAAAAGAAATTTTTATTGGCACTCCAAAAATCTCATTCTATACTCCAAACATTTTATATTTGGAAACAAAAATATAATTGTGAGGAGTGTAGAATGTGATTTTTAGAATGTCAATAACATTTAGAAAGGGCTTTTGCGGTAATTTTGGTGCTATTAGCCGAGTCCAAGGCCTTTTTGCTTGCACAGGCGGAAGTAGGGTTGTCGCCCTTGCTCTACCCAACTGGTCGATTCTCAGTTCTTTCTCAGTAGCGGAGGAGAGAGAAACACCCGGAATTCGGAAAGAGAGAAAAATTCCGATTTCTTGTCAAACAATTTACCAGTTCTGTGATATCGAAAGGAGGACGAGCTTCGATGCCTTGTCGCTCTGCAATTTAGTCTCCGCGAGACGATACCTAAATATAATCAGAGTCGATGGCTGCTCTCCCTCTCGGCAAGCTCACCATCCTCGTGGGCGCAGGTCCGTACAAATCCCTCCTTTCCCTTTCATTCATTCAATTTCGTAATAACTCGGACGCCATAGCAATCTATTTCCGTATCCTCTGGAATCCCCGTTGCGATATTGTCCTGAACTGGTTTGTTATTTTTAATTTTTTATTCGGGCATAGTACTGGCGGATTAAAGTTAGGGATTCGGATTAGCCGTAGATTCTATCATTTGGGAACACTGAATGGATAGCTGGGAGGAGGAAATATGGGTTCTTTTGAATGCATTGTTAACTTAATACGACATTGCAATTGAGAAAGGCGTCTGAGAGTGTGAAAGTGGAGCTGTATTGGTATTTGAGTATCCGAGCCATATGGGTTCTGTTGTTTTTTGCATTTGACTAAAAATGTGCAGTGTTTGGTGTTTGTTGAGGAGCTTAAGTCGTGCTTAATCTATCCAAGACCGTGTTTTGTCATATGGGTTAGTGATATTTTTGGGAGAATCCTACGGTATATTGCGAAACGTGAAAGTATAGGCATTTGGGTCTTATCAAATTGGTGGAAAATGGTTCCTCTTGTGTTAGTTACGTGCTTTCTTTCTCAATTTTCATGCCCGCTTGTCACCTGTCCAGTCCCATTCGAGTAGTAGCTTCTGACCTCATCTAAAGGGTTCTAATCAATCTCGGTTTGTCTTCTTATTGGTAGTTTCTTATGATTCATGAACCAACTTACTGCAATTGCAGGGTTCGACATAAAATTATTATTTTATGTTGTCTTAGTTAAAGAGCATGTATTTCTAATGAATTGGTTTATCGTGTGCTTTTTAGGCATTCTTGGTTCAGTTCTTGCAAAAGAAGGACGTGTATCTGATGTTGTCTCTGGTGCTTTCAAGGTAGTTTCTCATGCTACTCCGTTTTATATTCTATATATGTTAAAAATTGCCCTTCACATTTGATGTTTTAAAGTCTATTTATGTGGCATCCAAAGTATTACATACTGATCTGGCTGCCAGTTGGTGATGTTGCATCCAAGGACTGGGTATTTATATTAAACAGGAAAGGAGGGTAGAGGTTCAATGTTCTTGAGGGCTTTCGAGCAATAGGGAAATCTGTGTATAATTATGACTATAATATCGGGATACAATATGCATATTTTGTTGGGCATGGCTGTAATCTTTAAACTATATTTTGAAAAAAAATATTTTCAGTTTGATGTTCTTCAGTTTTGTTTAAATTGTATAAATTTTCCCGTATATCATTACTACTATAAGATTTTATTAATTATTGTCTTTTACCACAGATTGCATGGAAACAAATTATACGAAGTGATAGTACTCCGGCGGCTAAGAAACCACACAACGACCATCTGATGGCTCAGGTTTCATATTTTCTTCTAGAGTTTTTGTTACTTATAATTGCTTTTAAAGTAGTTGGGTATTAGAATAGTTTTGCCTCACCACACTCTTCGATCAATTATCACTCTTTTTTTTTTCTCGGTCAGCATCTGTGTGCCTTCATTATTGGAGCTTCATATTCTAGAGGATGGCATACTGTGATTAAATAATTAAATTTCACAGATGAACAACCTACGGAAGGAGCTGGAGATAATAGCATCAAGTCCTCGGCAACCAGTTACAATTATAACTATGGGTCGAACAGGTTCTGATTACCTTCACTGGAGTTTTGAACATGGTTATTTATTGTCTGGATTAGTAGCGCACAGGCCAACAAAACCTTAATAAACAAACTTAAGCTGTTTTTGTATCTTATTTTTGTCATCAAGTTCGGAAACATCTTATGACACATATATATGAGCATGAATATATGTTATGATTAAATTCCTTGTTATGTGTTGTATACATAGCTCTATAACTATCCATTTGTGATATTCTGTGACCTGGTTTTGGTTACTTCAGGTACTAGCAAATATGGTATAATTATTGTTGTAGTAGCGGCGGGATATGGCTACTTGTGGTGGAAGGTATGAGGTTTTATTTTACATGAGAAAATAAATAGGTTAAAGCTTCCCCTTGGGCCAACTAATCAAACTTCTTGTTCCAAATTCTACCTATACTTACATTGTAAACGTTAATAACATTCTTGATATGCAAAATGACTATTTATCTGACTTTTCTGTGGTTAAACAAGTTATAAAGAGATAAAATTTGTACTTCGAAATGTAATATTGGTAATTGAATGTAAATTCTTTTACATTAGCAAGGACATTAAATTGCCACTAGATACTTTGGTTCCCTTCAGTTTTGGTATCTTCTACAATTGCTAAATAATAAGTTCTACCAGTGAAGGCACTAGATTCAACCCTTTATGTTTCTCCTTGACATTTTGACATGATCTACTGTAAATAAGAATGCAACTACATGCATTCTGTAGTTGAATAACCACCTTATTAACTTCCTTATGTGCATTGGTGCAGTCCATCCAAATATGCCTATTTGGGATGCTATACTTATGTTTTATCAAGTAGCATGCATCAATTAAAATGGTTACTAAAACAAACACTCAGCTTGCTCTTTTTTTTAGCTGATTTGTATCTAAACTTGATAAACTTCAAGTGCTCTTGTCATAGCGTGCAAAGTCTAAAGTATATGAATCATTTAACAATTTAGAACTGAATTTTCAATATGCTTTCAAGGACTCTGAGTTTGTAGGGTGATTATTGCTTAAAGTTCATGTAATTTTTTTTGAAAGTTTGTAATTATGATAGGTGTCGTCCCAAAATCTCAACCCGTTTGGTTTGATAAACAAATTATGTTTTGAAAAAAAATAAATAGTGGTTTAATTTGTTTTCTTCTGTTCTGTTTGTTCTCTTTTGTCAAAGTTGTTTATTATATGTGTGCATTTCGTATATGTTTTCAGGGGTGGAAGCTTCCTGATATGATGTTTGCAACAAGACGTAGCTTATCCGATGCTTCCAATTCTGTTGCTAAACAGCTTGAGAGTCTGTTTACATCAATTTCGGCAAGTGTCTCTCTCTCTCTCTCTCTCTCTCTCTCACTGGGGGTGATATTTGTTGATTTCTGATGTGCTCTCTCAAGAATGAGAGGAGCTTATCTTTTTCTGTCTTCACTGATGCCATTCAATTAAGTTTACCATATGACAAAGCCATGAATATTCTGTTGTGAGTCAACGGTCAAGTATTACTTTTTCTCTCTCTCTCTTCCAAATGTTGTTGGTAAAATTTTATATGGAACCAACCATTTGCTCACTAGACCCATTTATGTCGTTTCATAAGTTTCTTCAATTCCTTAAAGCCGCCCCCTCCATAACTGCAAACTCTCTGCGATTGCCAATCATGTGCAACATTTTCCTATCTGCAAGGTTGCAGGCCCTCCATTCCAATTAGATTTGAGAGTGAAATCAAGATATAAGAGGGAAAGGGAAGAACAAGAAGGCAAGAGATGAGAGCAGGGACTGATGATGGTGGGAGTTGAGGGAGTTGTAGAGAGCGAAATCAAGATATAAGAGGGAAAGGGAAGAACAAGAAAGCAAGAGATGAGAGCAGGGGCTGATGATGGTGGGAGTTGAGAGAGTCGACGTTCTCATTGGGTTTGGGCATGGTGGGTGGCTGTTGGGGTTTTTCAGTTTTTATTATTTTATAAATTTTGTTGAAGGTCAAGGTTGGAATTTAGAGGTTACCAAAATTTGGTTGGGTCTAGTGAGCAAATTATTAAGTCAATATCCATCCATGTTATGAGATACTTGATTTATTCCCAAAAGGCATTGGTTGTAGTTGAAGCTTTTGTGATTTAGATGAACTTGTGTGATTAGATGAACTCATCCATTTCTGATGGTTTTGTGAAAGTACGCATATTTTGCAAGGAAATTTTATGAACCTGTTATGTTTGTCGTGCTTTTGGATTGGTTTTTCTTTTATATGCTTTTAATTAGACACGAAAAATAAAAATCTCTAACTTTGTAGATATTTTGTCTGATTTTCAGAGCACTCAGAGGAAATTATCTTCACAACTTGATCGTGTGGAATGTAGTTTGGATGAAAGTATTGAAAATACTGCTAGGACGCAACAGGAGGTGGGTATGTTAGATATTATTGAGTAGTTTAGTTAGTATGTATTTCTATGTTTCTAGTTCGTTAACAAGAAATCTTCGAAGCCATTTATAGGTTATCACACTACAAGGAAGGACGGATACCATTAGCAGAGATTTTAAAAAAGTTCATCACGCAGTGCTGACTCTGGTGATTTATTGTTGTTTTATTTTCTTTCATCTCTCGCAAGGTACATTCATGGATTGGAAAATCATATCCCTTATTTTTCTTTGGTCTCAGGAAACAAAAATTAATAGAATCGAAGGGAAGCAGGTATATAGTACTTAACTCTTTTGATTTATGAGTTGTTATTCTCTCCCCTTGAATACTCTTTTGTTCTGATGGTCTGGCCTTTGACTTCTAATTAGGGTGAGACTGCTGATGGAGTCTGGAAGTTGTGTGACTATGCCCTGAACATGGAAAAGGGCAGAAACGCAGAACGCATTCAGGCATGTACTGATTATTTCCTGCATAACTGGTAGATTGATATTTATGTCTGATTCTGTAGTACGTTACTTTTTCTTTGGCTAATGATTGATTGTACTGCTCTATGTAACATTAATTTTCTTTATCTTTTTTCACAGAGTTGATCACTTTTATGGTTTTGTAACTTTATTTTATCAGAATGAGCTTCAATTGATATTTATTCATTTGACATTTTATTGACTCTGATTTCCACGATGTTCAGGCGTCACCCTCCAGCTTTTCCAGGTCAGTTCTTGAACTACCACCAGACTCCCCCTCGTCTTTGGTGACACCACTGAAGTCCCCGAGGCCAGCACTTGAGCTACCCCCAACGTCACCCTCAAGGGTAAGATTGATATTCAAAGTGTATAGCGGTTTGACATGCTATCTTATTAAGATAATATATTGAATTGGTAGGAGGCTTTAACACCTTTATTCTTAAGCAACTCTACAATTATACAAATGTTTGCGCACTTGACTTTGCCTCCTTTTTGGTTGAGGAATCCGTAGTCTTATCCATCTCCAGTCGTTTCAGGAGAATAGTGGAATCTTGGAAGTGGTTGAGTCCTCAAATCGTGGTGAGGCTTCCAATGGGATTCGTGCCCAAGAAGGCACAAACAAAGTGGCTTCCAGTTCTGGTTGGTTTGGGTTCGGGTTTCCAACCTTCAATAGTTCGGCGCTCCAAAGGACGCGAAGTGCTACAACTGGAATGGTGCAACAGAAACGATCAACTAGTCAACCATTATGAGGATCTTTGTATAGATCCCGGTAAAGTCATTAGAGTAAATTTATATAATAAATCATCATTTGTACCATCGCTCGGGTGAAAGCCTCGAGCTTTTAGACTGTTTAGTTTTGGAAGCCAAAACCTCAAGTATAGCTGATGCCTTGTAGTCGATCAAAGTCATTGTAGCGGAGCGGGACGGGACGGGACGGGGTGCTGAGAAATTTTGTAGCGCAGTTACGTCGTAATATGGTTATTCAAGATAATCTTATGGTGACATTAGTATTTGTGTATATGAACGATGGCCGTTGTCACAGAAGAGGTTTTAGGTTTAAAGTTTATTGTTTTGGCAATAATGGAGAAACTTTTAGATGTTGCTGTCGTGTATGTGTAAAATTCATGACTTGGATGTGATGATTAATTGTGAGAGCAGTGGCGTATACACCTAGTGACATCTAAGAATTTTATTTACAGTTCAGAGGAATATACAATAAATCAAATGTTCCATTATTTATTTTAATTCCTGGGTTTTTTTATATTAAATTACGGATTGTAAAGTGAGCGACATAATTTTTAGTTCCGTATGTCTTAGTTAACACAAATAAGAAATTAAATGCATTCAAATACTCATTTCGATACATTCCAAACAAGTAAACATGTTGTTAAGTCTTACGAAACTCTTTAAGGGCTTGTTTAGTGGCTGGATGAGATTGGGTCTTAGGGACAAAATTGGATTGGCAGACGTTTGTTAGGTTGGACTTGTAACTCATATGTATGGATATGTTATATAACCCATCCTATTGTGGAATTTCATGACTTATTCTGTCAATCTCACATTTTAACTCAACAAAACTTCAATTTATTTTAATTAGTCACAACCTATACCAACCGGCACAATAAACGGGCCCTAATAATCCAGCTTCGGCCCGACTTTTTGAGTCTGTACTATTAAAGAGAAAGCCCAAAAGCCACACGGAATGCCAATGTAAGGAACTGTTTCCCGCCATTTTTCTTTCCTCGGCTTCTTTGGCGCGCAAGTATAAAATACAGAACTCACACTGGAGTCGTGGCCCACTGGAGATAATTTCTCACTTCCACCGGAGAGAGAGAGACAGAGAGGGGAGAGAGAGAGAGAGGAGCAAAAATGCAAGCCGTTCGATCTCAGAGGAAATCTTTCGTCAAGGAAGTCGTCCCGACCCTCCCTCTCTACCGCTCTGCTCCTGCCCTTGAAGTTCGTCTAGAAGAGTTCGAGCTCTTCGCCCTCGATCGCCTCCGAGGTAATTTCCTATCAAGAAACTTTGTAATTTCCGTTTCGCTGCTCAATTTTTGTCTCGAAACTTCGGGGATATCTTTTAATTTTTGGTTTTTGTTTGGTTCCTGAGAAAATTTTGCAAAAGCGAAACACATTTCTGGAGCTAAGTTAATAGATTACACCAAAAGTCTGCACCTTTCACCGTTTAGGGCGTGAAATCAAAGAACCCCATATTCAGGATGGGGCTGAATGAGATTGGCACACAGTCTGTACTTTTCAGATTAGCTTTTAAATTTCTTATTCAGGTAGAAAATGCTGAAAAGATTGATTATTTTCATGCTGGAGTGTGACTGTTTGGGAGATGGGAAAATCGAAATGCTTTTGCAGTTGATTTTAGGATAGATCCACATTTCAGTTTCGGTTGGCCTTGAATCCCTTTCTCTTCTGGATTTCGGAATCAAACAAAAATTATGAAATTTGATTCTTGATGCATTTTACCGGAGAGGATTCAGATCTTGAAGGGAATATGGGTTTAGCATTTGCCCAGCATATATCTCGAGAGTTGTGTTGATGGAAATTACTACTGTATGCAGTGCTTAAAGGGATATCTGATGGATTATCACGCGGAAAGAAACATGACGAAATGCAGAAATTGGTAAAACCGTAGTTCCAGGTTGAAATTCTTTTCATTTCCGTTATTGCACCCTTTTAGAAAATTAACATTTTGGCATTTTACAGGCAATAGAACTATGGAAAACAAATATGAGGCATCCTCAGGCATATGAGGTCGTCAACAAGGACATAATATCGCACTTTGTTCTTCGGCTAGTTTATTGCAGAACGTAAGAACTTGTAACATTTTATTCTCTTAAAAGATTTCCTTATTATATCTTATTTTATGTTGTTAATTTTTATTCTGCATTTTAGGGAGGACCTGAGAAAATGGTTTCTTTCCATGGAGACTGCCCTATTTCGTTACCGATTTATGAACGAACAACCTGAACCTCAGGTAATCTACACTTAGCTTGGCACATTCCGTTAGTCTGTTTCTGACCAATATTCTGCTTTTGGTATTCAGAGGGCGCTCATGGAAGAATTTGATCTTCCATACAAGGCAGTTGGTGGTTCAGAACTCGAGGTAATTCTGTGCCTCATACTTTCTAAGGCCTTTACGATATGATGTGCTCAATATAGAAAATATGCATTTGAAACCAAGACCATTTCAGCATTTATTTATCAGTTTCATACTTTGTAAACCCCTTAAAATTCTTGGTATATGCTGCAATCTTCATGTAAGTTTATCTTCCCTTGCAGAGTGTATTAGATAAATTGGTCCAGGTTTCGCGTTCGCTCGGTGCTCAATCTCAACCAACTGGTAGGGGCGCATATTTTATAACACTTTGCAATGCTGGAGTCAATAAGTTGTGCATTACTTTTATAGTTGTGAATTTTCTTAATTATACTCACATGCACTGTTTAAATGTTCTAATATCTGGGTGTGTGCAATAGTGGAGTGTCTATGGCATGTTGTTAGGTCTTGGTCTTGCATTTGGCATGTTCATTGTTGCTTCAGAACGTGTTTAAGAAAAAATTGATTATCTGCATTTTCCTTCGCTGTTATCCATATTCTAATTTTTCTCCTATACTTGCATTTTTGCAGCTAATGATATCTTCTTCAAGGTGTGTTTATCTTTGATTCATTCTTCCTTTTTCAACTGTACATGCTTTAATTTATTATTTGATCATTGTTTATTTCGTTATTGGAGTATGGGAATGAGGTTCCTGTTGGTCCAATGTGGTCCTCGGCCAGAAATACATTTTCAGTTGGTTTTGATTTATTGCATGTGTTGCTTCATTAGTGAAGTAAATTGTTAAGAAAAATAAAGTATTGAATGAATTTTAAAATTCGAACTAATCCTACAGTTTATGTCATGTGTTATATTTCTATCATTTATTATTCTTTATTTAATTTCTTATTATCCTACCCCTCCATTAAGGTACCGTTTGAAGAAGTCCCAGAACTGGTAGCCAGTCGTAGGGTATTCATCAGTAAGGGGCATGCATATATAGCTAGAAATCAGGTTTAGTTAATGCTTTCTATTAGTTCTTGCATACGATATACCTATAAGGTGACGATAATCATTGATTTTTTTATGTTTATTTGCTCCTCTCTCCCAAACAATAGGTGGTTTCCCTTGTTGCCACACAGTTCCGCAGTCTTCTATCAAAGGCACTTATTTTGACAAACAGGTTATTGTTGGCTATTTGTAATTCAAAACTCATTGGGTATATCTGATGTTACTTACTATTTCTTATCTTCTGTCAAGACAATCTAATGCATGAGGTTTTGGATTTTAAAATATCTGAAGCTGCACTTTCTGCATGCAGAAAATGGACAACAACTATAGCAGAACAAGAGAAGGATCGGTTGACTCCTGTGAGTATCGGATCCTGAACCTTGTATTTTGAAGTAGGCATTTATTTCCAAGTTAGCTTCTTGACATTTCTTTTCCTTTCATTTCTGTTTAGATTGTTGAAGCCCTATCCTCAAGTTATCTGGGCCCCGACTATTCTGAGGTAGTTCTTTACGTGTTTTAGCTCATCTATTACCCATATGTATCGATCATTTAATTTGTAGTTAATTATTCTATGTTGACTGCCTCTGTAGCCAAAAGAGTTTGGTCAGATTTCGTTAAAAGACATTGATGATGCAGCTAAGAGCTCATTTCCTCTGTGCATGCGCCACCTATTTGAAAAGGTATAGTCAGACTTTATTGGCTAAATTTTTCTTCTCAGCTTTTTATTTCTTATGAAGATTTTCAAATCGCCTTTGCTCTTGTTTTACTCATGCTACTTGCTTGCAGTTGAGAGAGGATCATCATTTAAAGCATGGAGGGAGAATGCAACTAGGTCTCTTTCTCAAGGTTGTATCCTAACCCGCATCACTCTCTGGTTTCTGTCCTGTCTTTTTGTGGTAACATGTTATTCCATGATCATACGTGCTATTCATTGTGTATTTGGTACGTTGGGCATCAAGACACCTTGTGCTGTTTGTTGCAATTTAATTTGCCACATCATTAACAAATATCTGTTCCTATGTTTCTCATTTTCATTCGTACATGTCATGCGTGGTTACATAGACGTTAGATACCAGTCACCAACATATACCACTTATTGGGTTTTGTTGGTGGTATATGTTGGTGCTTTTATATGTCTGTATGCAAGTTAGCGACTAGAGTTTTCAAAATTATTGGAAGTCATACAGCCTTGTTGTGGTGAAAAAGTTGCAGAATAGCGAATGATGATTTTGGAGAATGCAGTAGTTTATAGGTTTTTGTGGTGCATTTTGGTGCATGAAAATTGTCAGCTGACGTTTATACGCCCAACCTTGCTATGACAAACTGTAAAAGTTATCAAAAGAATCTTGAATATGTCTTTCTGGGATCGTCTTTCCCTATTGGCTAAAATTTGTTATTAACCTCTGCAGGGTGTTGGGTTGAAGCTGGATGATGCCCTTGCGTTTTGGAAAGCTGAGTTCTCACAAAAAGTGAGTATGTTGTTTCTGAAGTATTTAATCTACTCATTCTTAATCATCACGCGGGGCACAGAAATATTTTCCAACAGTTATTATCCATGTATGATGAAAGGATAAGTTGCAAAATTGTAAAGTTCCAAAGTCGTAGTGCATTATATTATTAAGATGTTTTCTTGTTCCTTGTGACTCACTTGCTATTTGATTCCATGCTTTGTACTTGATCTTTGTATAGGTTGGTGTTGAAAGGTTTGACAAAGAATATTCATATGGCATACGCCACAATTATGGAAGAGAGGGGAAAAGAACGGTAAGACATCACACTTAAGATTCAAGAGTTTTAAGATGCTATATTCTTTTACTCAAATAGCAAGAATTTTGAGCGATGTTATGTCTAGAATCAGATTCATCAAAACTGGGCTCATGAAAAATATTCAAAAAAATCGAATCCACTACATAATTATTGCTTGCAGAAGCGTTTTGCTGTTGGCTTTTGTTCTTATATGTACAGCCTTTTTGTTAAAAATACCATTAGAAAACTGGAAGTACGCGTGAAGAAATACTTAAAATATATGATGCTGTGCATTCTGATCATGATCAAATATGTTCAATTTTTGACATTGCAGGATTACACGCCTTATTCCTGTCAAAAAATCATCTCATCTACTCCTGGTGTAGGAGATCATCATGGATGCCCATATCGATATTTCAGGTAATTTTGATAATAAAAAATTTCCTTATTCATCTGGATGATATTGAACTTGGCCTTTCTAACGTTACTGGCTGTATTATATTGGATAGAACTGCCACAGCAAAATACCCAACTATATCAGTGCCTTATTCTAGTAATTCAATGGCTTTCAGCTAAAGTTGTGATACATACATTGGCTGATCAACCATATCCTTTTATTCGTCATACTTAATTGAATCTCCTCGCCCTGCTCATGGCAAATCTAAATTATTTTTTTAAATATTTGCTCAATATTTCTTTATCCAATGTCTCATTATTTATCTGTGACAGTGAAGAGAACTTGAGAGCAGCTCTTGGTAAAATGGGAGTTACTGGCCGAGCGGTTGGAGATGTAATGGACAAAGTTAAAAACAAACATTATCAGGTGAAAATGTTATTAGATGCATAAAAATTACTCCAAGTTGTTTTTGTTCTAACACGATGTTAATGTGGAATACTTGGTCACGTATGCATCAGCTGGCATGCACCTTGACGTTCGAAGCTATTCATGGTTCATCATGTGACGCTGGAATTAACCATCCAAATCAGTACTTTAAGGACAGCCAAACTATTATAAAGTCTAAGGTAAATTATGCTTTTATTTACAGTTTACTATCAAATACCAAAATTTGAGCAAAATTTGTTTTAATTCGGTTTTGAGACCTCTAGGGTAGCCAAAAAGGCCGAAGTTCAACCACATGCTTATCTGAATTTTTCTTTGCAGAACCAGTCTGCAGCTTAAGGGAGAGTTTTAAAGCACCATCAGAGGCGGATATAGCATATTCTCGTTCCACAGGTACCTCTCTCAAAATAGTCCCATGTAAAATCCAAATAATAGAGCATACAGCCAAAGCAGACCCCTTTCTTTCAACTTTATTTTACTCCTACACACCACTCTTTATTTCTGGCTATCGAATCAAATAAATCAAACACAAATAATAAACAGGATTAAACATGCGTAGGACGAGAAAAAAGGTTGGTGGTTATCATTTCTCCTTTTTTTGCAATGAAAGCCAGTGCTATGATCTGCCCCAAAGTAGGAAGGACATATATAATTTGGTTTCCTGGTTAAGGGGGTTCTATTATTAACAAGTGTTCTTCTGCAACATGAGGTCCACCGTTCGCATTGGTCCATCTGATTTCTCCCCTGCCTTTTTCAGTTTGAGCTCAAATTTGGTGTACAGGTTTGGTTGGTTGGTTGGTCGGGCTGAAGAACTGGTCACGACGAAGCTCATGGCATAACATATTGTCGTTCCTTTTGATATATAACGAAAATTTTATGTTTGTTTTATGATGGATTTGAGTTATCCCTTGAAGTTTATAATTAGTTTTGAGTAATGCAATATTTGGCATCTGTTTTTCTTTGTATACAAGTAATAGTATAGTTTGTGGATACAATGTTTATGATCCTTTGGTCTGTAACGACATGACATCCAGTCTTCATTTTATCGAGAAAGTCTTTGAGTTCAAAGTCGATTTCTTTACCTTGTTGCAATGTGGTGACCGGGGTGGAGTATCTGTGGGTATCCATTGCCCATTCCTCTTACAATGTGGTTCCTCTCTTTAGCTCCACCTAAACTATCATTACAATTTTATTACTCAAGCAATAGCCCGTTTATTGACTAATTGTGAAGATGTTATTCATAATGTGTTAATATCGTTGTGTGTTCAACAACGTACTTTCAGCGCAAAAAATTCGATACGTAATCCGTCACTATATTACTTTTTAACTTTTATGCAAATGTCATTGTCCTCGCGGCTCTTGTTATTGTTTAGGCTTTTCAATCTCAGATGGACCAGTACCTGAATTCCAACCCCATGCTCCTAATTTTATTTCTGGTTCTAGTCCTGGTTTGTGGATGCGGGTTGACTCTAAATCCTAAACTGTGTAGTCAAAATCCAACGGATAAGAATCAAAGAGGCGGAGATCGAATTCTTTAGTAGGAGAATAACTTGCCTACGACTACCTAATTAGAGTAGCTCTCACGACTGGTAGTGAAACCAATGTAGAGTCAAATGAGATTAAAATACACGAAATCTCATATTTTCATAAGAGCTTCTTCAGAAATGATGTGGTCCTGAGTGTCCACAAAAAATTGTTATGAGAATCAAGGAGCAGCTACTGCTCTAGCTGCCTGTAATGTTTGGCAGAAAAGTGATGGCTGATCATTCAAAACCAGGCTTCTTATTCTCTATCTATTTTCTTGTTTTTGTTCCCTTTACAGTGTACATGTAACCATCGATCAGGAAGACGAAAATTAGATGGTTGACAAATTGTTAGGGAAGAATTTGAAGAAATTATGGATGAATTCTAGATTGTTTGTGAATAGTCCGTATATTAGTTTATATGTAGGTTAGGTCAGTTAATCAAGGCAAAGTGTCCATCCCTATGCACCCAAGTTTGAACCCACTCTTCCCACATGCCCACACGGAGAAGACGTGGTAAGGACAAGAAAGTGTACATTCCAAAGAGTTTTTCCGGAGAATATTGAGGACATCTTGGAAACTGGTTGCCCTTGAGAAAAAGCATGTTAGCAGTGCTCCAATTTCTAGTTCTGCATAAAAATAGGGGATATTACTTATAACGTTCAAAACTTGTGAGCTCGGTTGATAATCGACATGGAAGATGGATCAAGGGGCACGTTGAAGGATCCTGGGGTCTCTATGAGGAATCCATCTTCGAGTACTACATCTTTGAAAAGACTGCGACAACCCAATAATGAAACCAAATTGCTGCATGATTGGTTGATGGGTGCAATCCGGACGTTAGCAAATGCCTGAAAAGTTACGATCAAGGGCCAGGAACGGCGGTTCTGTCAGCAGTGCAGCAGGCAAGGGGGAGGTAATTGTTCTAGGAATTTTGATTAATTTTATGTTATAAACACTCTGTTGAAAATGTATATTTTGATAACACTGAAAACTTGAGCAAAACTAGTCTTACAAACTAGCAAGTAGCATTTCTTCGTAACATGTTGAAGGTTCCATTCGTTGGACGAATTCGATGAAGGAAATAGAAGCTGCAGAAGACGTCTTGATGGACACAACAAACTCCGGAAGAAGTCTGAACCCAGGTTCACAAATTTGCGAAGATTACTTTCCAATTACCAAGGTTTGGAATTTTGGCCTGATAAAATGAACCTTCTAAGTTTTAATAAGTAGCCGAGTTACTATCCATATTACCAATAAGTTTTACTATATAACCTTAATTATGTGTTAGAGGAGTCTTGTCCAAGGAAACCGTCTCTCCTAAGGTTTAGGAATTAATATTGTAATTTAAGTCTGGTTGTATTTCTAATTTGTAGAGATCCTTACTTATACGTCAAGTATACATGATTGTATATATGGGCCTTTGTGCTATGAATATAATTGTCAAGTTTATAATTTATGTATGGTATCTGAGAGTTGAGGTTGCAAACCCTAGTGTGGCATAGCCCCCCCTCCTAAATTCTTTTTTTTTTCCCGTCTCCTCCCACGGCAGCGGCCTCCTCTTCCTCTTTCGCTCCATCTCTTCCTTATGGACCTAATGTGGCTCACTTCTTCAAGCTTACAGAGACCAATTTTCTCAACTGGAAGTGTCAGATACGTCCCTTCTTGATTGGTCATGATCTTTTCTCTCATGTTCATGGCTCATCTTCTGCGCCTGACGCTGAGCTTCCTGCTGATGATGATGCTCCTGCCAAGCCTAATCCCAAATATAAAACTGATCAGCTGGTGTGCAGCTACCTTATTTCTACTCTCTTCGAGTCTGTTCTCTCGTGAGGTTAAGTTAGGCTGCCTCACACACCATTTGCGAATTAGTTATATGATAGAACCTCAACTGTCTTTAAACTAATACGCGCTTCAAATATGCTTTGAGTAATCTCTTCACATCTTAGGTGGTAGTGGAACATAGTTTGGACCTTGGAGTTGTATGGGCTCTACCGCACACCAGAGTCATACTCTTTCAATGTTACTTAAGTTAGTTTCGCTCACAGCCCAGTCAGTTCTCGGGTCCCCAACACAACCCACTCTGAAATATTTAGATCGATCAGACATGTGGTCTTCTGGTTTGGCCCTCGTATTTGTAGCGTACACAATGATAGGAACCACAAGATAAATTGTCAAACATTACTCTCTGGAATCGATGAGAGATGAGAGATGAGAAATCTTTTCAAAGATTATACATATAATATGGTGATGCGGCTGAGTTTGAATTATCTTTTTGAACTACTACCACGCTTTAGTGTTACTCAACTCATGTGAATGATAAGTCTAACACTAGATTGTTATGTTGGCCCATTGTGCGGAATAGCTCATATCCTCCATTATTTTAGTGTAAGGTATATAAGATTGCTCAAACGATAATTAGTTAGTAACTTAATATGTCGTTAACCATGCGTTCATGTCTACTCCATAAATTTTTTTCATAATCCAAATCGTTTTTAAGATCTTCATTAAAAAAATCATCCTCCCAAGTTAAAAAAAAAATGGACGGTTTAGGCCTGTATAAAAATAAAAACATAAAACTCAAAAAACCTATGAAAACCTAGAGTGTTCCATGTGATCCTGATTAAATCCAAAATCTAATTGGATACAGAATAATCTAAAAAGTTGTGTTTTCCCTTGGAGAAATGACCTCATTATCCCAATTGCAGATAACATATCTTCACTATAAAAAATTCATAATCAGAACCATTCAATTTCTTAATTTTTATTTGAAGATCACTCATACAAAAAATCATTCGAATCATAGTTTATTTAGTCATCCAAATGCATCAAATAAATGGACGATTCATCATGAATATGTTATTTGGTACCTACACCTTAGATTTATTTGATAAACTTGGATGACTAAACGAACTTTAATTCGAACTATTTTGCGTAGGAATGATCTTCAAATGAATCTTAAGGAATTCAACGAGGATAATGTTTGTGTATCCCATGGAGGACTTATTTGTCCCCCTAATTATGATTAACGAATCTTTACCGTCCAAACATCATAATCGAAACGGTTCATTCTCTTTGTTATCATCTAAAGATCACATTTGCAAAACATTATTCAATTTGGAAATCATTTAGTCATCCATACGTACGTGTTAAACCAATCAACGATTTTGGTAACAAGTAGTATCCTCATGATGAACCGTCCATTTGTTCTATGCATATAAATGGGTAACAATCTCCAAATTAACTGATTATTTGCATACATAAACTTTAGATGATAATAAAGAGAATGAACAGTTTCGATCATGATGTTCAGACGGTAAATAATTTGTTAATCGTAAATGAGGCAACAAGTAAGTCTCCCCATGCAAGGGGGGACACAAGAGCATTACCCGTTCAACGGTAGTGATTATAAGAATTCTACGATGAAGATACGTTAGCTGCAAGTGGAGGAGTGAGCTCATCCCTAAAGAGGGAATGCAAGCATTATCCTTCTATTAATCATATTTCTACTTCCTATGCGTTAGTTTATTGAGAAATATTTTGAGATAAACATGCCTTGATACATGTTTCGTGTATTAATGTAATACTCGAAATCTTAAACTTATTGTCCAATCATATTATATCATGCTTTGTGATCACCCCAACATTAGGCTGCACTTTTCAATTAGAGAACTAAAAAAGAACTTAACTAGTCCCCGTATCAAAACCAATTGTTTTATGTTGAGATTGTGCATAATTATACATTTTCTTAGTCACTTGAGCATTGTACTCAACTAGCACCTCTGTATTCGTTTTGATGATCAATGAAATATCAATTTATCGTTTTTTGTCAAGAAAAAAAAAAATATTATGCATGATTATTATGGACATAAGAGCGCACGTTTCAATTAGAGAACTTAACCCACTTTTTAATTAGAGAACTAAAACCGCCTTAACTAAAACAACCGATGAACAATAAGAGTCAAACTTTCACAGACAATGAAAAACGTGGTGTTTTTTTCTTTATTTTCCTGTTTGAGTTTAAAAATGTGTTGAACACATTGATTAATACCAGTATAAAGAAGACAACCACGTCTTTATTGCTAGATATAATTGATATATTTAAAGGGGAATATTTGCGTCGCTGTTGGGTTCTGCTGCTGTCCAATTGTGGTGGTTGAAAGATGACCTAAAGTGGACAAAGAGTAAACCAAATTAAGTTACTTTCGTTTTCATAAGTGAAAGACCTCCACTTCTCTTAACCCTAAACTGCAATCCCTCCCTCTGCAAAAGGACCATTAGCGCACATGCTTCCCGGCAACATTGCTTTCATCACAATTATTATCCGGTTGGTGGTGCATGGCAGTGGCACACACAAACCCTAATTCAACACGCACATGATCCGATGAGGCATGATGAAGTTTTGGATTTAATTATAAGTTGGTTTGTTCAAACGTTAAAGTGCAGCTTTGGTTAGCATGCACATCTCAAAAGAATAGTTAATTAATTATGGAGAATCGGAGTATTGGTTTATGTATTTTGGCTCAATAGGTGATTTAGCCTCTA